AAATTGAGTACTATAGAGTACCTTATGTTTTTGGGAAAACAGTAGCCCTATAGGCACACTACCAGCACCCAGGGCAAACTGGAGTGGCCATTTGTCCAATTTGAAGACCCAATACATCTCCACATCAATTCCATTTGAGGTTAAATGTAGCATGGTACAGTCACATGAAAGAGAATACAGATGAACCCCAATATGTTAAAAACAATGAGTAGTCCTGTGACACCCTGCGGTATGTCTAGACTACATGGCTCCATCAACGGAGCCATGTAAAATAGTTTTACTCGGCACAGTCAAAGAAGCAGGGCATAGTCAAAGAAGTTTCACGAGGCATACCGGAGCGATCGACATAGGCTTCCCTTGTCGACAGCGCCACATCTAGACTTCCACGCTGTGCCGGATCAGCCGATCATCGGCACAGCATGGCGGCCATTTTTATTTTAATGAAGCGGGGATTATTTAAATCCCTGCTTCTTTGACTATGCCGAGTAAACTATTTTACATGGCTCTGTTGATGGAGCCATGTAGTCTAGACGTACCCTTAGAGACTAACAAAATTATGGTGCCTCAGGACTACTTGTTTTTAAAGTTACAGACTAACACGGCTACCCCTCTTGAGACTTTCCAATATGTTAGTTTGTTGATCAATAATTCACTTCCCCAATCTGTAGAAAAAGGTTAACATGGACATAAATGATGGCACCTCTTTAAGGAAGGCAATGGCCCTATTGGACAAGGTACATTCCTAAGGAAGCTTTAAGGTAGTTTGGCATGGAGCCCCTGTTGCCAAGCTAATCCTACTGTGAGAATTAAGGACCTCCAAAGGTAGGCCAAGGTGTTTCTAAATCTCCTAGAGATCAACACTGGGATTCATCTCACTGATACAGGATGGACCTTTCTGGTCCAGCACCCTCAGAACCTGACCAGTCCCAAAGAAGGGAATTTGCCAGACCAGGGGAGATCCCCTGCTACTGGTTCCCCAGCCCACCACCCCTTCCTGCTGCTGACCCCAGCAACCATTCCCCAACAAGCTGCTATGACCCACCTCTCTTGCAAGGCTGCCATGCTGCTGCAGCCCTGCCATCTTGGGCTGCCGCATCCCCGAATCTGGCCCTGTTACGAGGGCTGCTGCATCCCTAACCCTGGCCCTGCTCCTGTGGCTGCTGTCTCCAGCCCTGCTACCAGGACTGATGTGG